GGGGTGTTTCCTAGTAAAATTTGTGGAGCACAACAGCCCAGAGGAACAATTAGCCAAAAAAGGTAACGTAGAGAGAGAAAGTGCGAGGGAGAGAGCTCTCAAGTAAAGGAATAGTCAGAACAAACTAGACGGATTATTTATAGTGGTAGGGATGATACCCGACTGTAGAGGTCAAGCCAGGTGTGCCAATGGTAGGATAGGCACCACGTGTCCTTGCGTTATCAAGCTCATTCAAGAAAGGTTCATGTCAACTCGGGCAATTTTAATAGGTCCCTCTCTAAGCCCACCAAACTAAGTCTCCCTCAGCATCCTGTTAGCCCAAAGATCAGGAAATATTCATATGGTTGCGCTAACAAGTCAAACACTTGCCCGACCCTGGCACAAAGAGACTTGATTTGGTGAACTCAAAGCAGGTCTAGTAAGGTTGGCCCAAGGTGACATTCATTAACTATTCTTGAAAAAGCTTGAGAATGTAGCGATGATAATTTTAGATGCATGACACCTATCTTACCACTGGCATGCTAGAGGCTTAGCAAGATCTGAATGGCGAAGTATCTTACCACTGCCATTCATTACCTCATTAAGGATCCTTCTGCATTCCTTGAGAGCTTCACTCTAAAACCTCACATGCTATGTTGTTGTACTCCCCAATTATTCCTAAGACACTCCCCATGTGAGTAGTAGTAGTAATAGTAGTAGTAGAAAGCATAAGTCCTCATCACTGGGAATGTTCAGTCAAAGACATGCTATGTTGTTGTACTCCCCAAGAATTCCTAAGACACTCCCCATTTGAGTAATAGTAGTAGTAGAAAGCATCAGTCCTCATCACTGGGAATGTTCAGTCAAATCCTCCATTACTACTAGTACTAATAAGGTCCTCGCCTACAACAACATTCACATTTGTCAAGATTGTCCACTGCACTCTCTGTTGCACCAATCCTTGAGGTGGTGATGCTAATAGACAACACTGCCTCACCTACCCTACTCTGAAAGAACCTACATCTACAATGTTAAATGCCAATTCCTACCTGACTGCTTCATCTCTGTTATTATCCGACATCATTAATCATCAAAACAGCTAAATTGTACAGCAACTAATATACCTGATCAGTTTCATCTAAGAATGTTGTTAGCTCATCCAATAAGAGCACTTTACATGCTTCAGCTAGAGCACCAGCAATCGCAACCCTTTGTTTCTGACCACCGCTGAGAGTTTGAACTGGCCTCTGATGAGGGCAGAAGAAGGTGATTATGCAAGAAACATGTAGTTAAGATATGTCTTGAAAGTTATATGGTTCATGACCCTACTTGCATGTAGGCAGACATTCCCACAGCATCCAAAGCTTTTGACACCGTGCACTTAACTTCATCCTCAGTCAGGTTCAACTTCCCAAGGCCAAATGATACATCTGCTTCGACTGTAGGCATCACAACCTGCAATTAAAAAGGATGTCGCCTTTATCAAATTTTGTAAGTACCAGATCTCATTTTTCATAATTTTGTAGTTACGCGTTAACTTTAAAGGTAGAATTGCAAGGGTACAATAAAAAGTATGTTAAAGAACAAAATAAGAAATGCAAATATTGGCACAAAGTTTTTTTGTTGTCTGCTGGAAAGCAGGTCATAGAGATGATATATAAAGTAACTACATTTTTATGGAAGAATATTCAAGAGATGGCAATGTAAAGCATATTTGACACTATTAAATCATGTAGCTCATGAAATTGCATAACGTTTCATATTAAACTGAGCTATCTTCAATGGAAAGTGGAAACCAATCAAAATGAATTTTTGCAGTACTTTACAGTGAACCAACACTAACAGAAGCTGATAGGAAAAGTGCCCTTGATAAAATTACAAGAAAAGGAGCTATAATGAGTAAATGAATTTGAGAAGAAATTTCATTCTACCGCCAGATTGAATTTTTTAAGTCACTTCTCAATAAATTTTTTGATGCTATGCATCCTGCAGAAGAAAAACTCCTTTGATTAATGACAATAGGGAGAACATCTCTTTATCTCTTCTCATTTCTTCTGTTTGATGTACAAAAGAAAGAACCTGGCAATTATGTCAGAAAGGGTGCTTATGAACCTTCTCAAAAGATGTGAAAATTTAAGATAGATTATTATGGATGCGTGGAGAATTTGCAACAGATTTTTATGGATGGGTGAAAATTTTGACAATCAGACAAAGACTGTTCATTTCTAAATTTCTGTCCTCCAATGATCTTTCATGGATACAAACAGAAGAAGAATATTCAAATTTTCTTCTACCATTTATTTTTCTTCTATCTTCCTTGCTAGCCAGAAAAAGACAGCAAGATAGTGACAAAGAAAGCTTATTTTCACTAAAAATATAGTGCATAACGTGAGAAACAAAACCACATGTTATAAAGGGAGCAGGCATGCCAAACCAGTCAAAATTAAAACAAAAATATAACTAGGATTGGCGCAAATTATAAACAATGTGTTGTTTAGCATTTATTTTTCTCTAAACAAGAAACTAATGTTAACCTCCACACAGGATCTTTTGGGGAATTATTTTTAGAAAGAAAAACTTTTAAAATGTTTTCCCTTGGTGGATTAATAACAAAAAAGGCAATTGTCGAAATAAGAGGTAGGATACACATTAGAGGCTCTATGAAGTAGTAGGAAATGGGATTGACAACAACAGTAATAAATCATCATTAGATAATCATATTCTAAAGAAACAATGTTGCAGAGCTATTCCAGCTTTGTCAACAAATAAAATGGTCTAAATATCTCAGAAATCAAGAAATGAAAGGGAAAAAATATATTTGAAGCAAACATCTATGACAGGTATTATACAAGTTCTTCCATGTAAAATAACAGAACGTCTCTTCTAAAGCGCTCAGAGAAAGGAACAAAATCAGCATGTACACTAGTTTAAAGGAGGAAAAAACTAACCTGATGGTCTGGATTCTGAAAAACAAAGCTCTTAGGCCTTTTCAGATACAAGGTTCCACTAGTTGGGTTCAAAAGACCAGCCAGAATCTGTCTAATTCACAATATAGAAAACCCATCATCTCTTTCCTTCTTCAGCATCTTAAAACCAAGATTTAACCTTTTTGAATGAACAAAGTAAAAGTTGAAGTTACCTTCAAAAGGGTAGATTTTCCACACCCATTCGGTCCAAGAAGCATCCAAAGCTGCCCAGATGGAATCCTAAGAGAACAGTCCTTAAGAATGGGAACTAAATCCCCTTTCCTTGTTTTGATTGAGAAGTTCAAATTCCTACCTTCAATGGCAATATTATTGTCTTTCTCAATGATGTAATTACCCCTGCAAAAAATACAAGAATCAACAACGTAATATAAAAGAAGTAGAGAAAAACAAGAAAATCAGCAAGCCCGCAATCTGTTCGAAGAATTGCTAGAGAGAGAGAGAGAGACAGTGTGTTGTTCGTACCTTGGGGGTGGAGCGGAGTGAAGTGGGGGAATGTTGGGAGGAGCAGCAGCACGAAACAGAGCGGGGAGATCCATAGGTAAGGCCACTCGGTTTGAGATTATAAATCATTCTATTGGGCTAACAAAATTAATTTGAATGGGCTGAGTGTTTAAAATTTAATGGGCTATGATTATTTAGAGAAGTAATTGTGTTTTGGTTTGATTTTTTTAATTAAAATTGTTATATTCGTTTGGTAAAAAATACATGAGATTTTGCAAAAGGTTTTTTACGAAATTGGACTGTTTTGACATGTTAAAAACTTCTAGGGACTATTTGATACTCTAATGTTTTAGAAAAATAAGATCAGAAAAGGGAAAAACTAGAACTTTATATTCAAATACAATATTTTCAAAAAAAAAAAACTTGTTTATTTATTTATTTTTTTAATCACAAAGACATGTTTTAGAGGTTATCTATAATGTATAATACATTATTTTAATTTTATATACAAGTAATTTTTATCAATGTAAATTATTAAAATTATTTTCTTTTATATTTTCATATTTAGTTAGTATCATAAATTTGTTTATTTTATTATAAATATAATATAAAATATTTTCTTTTTAAAATTAACAAGTATAACATTCTCATGAAATAGAGTAAATATTTTTCAAATATATTATCATAAGTAAAAAATATTAAGATGACTTTGATTTTTTTAATGAAAAAAGTATTATATGTTTTCAACAAATAATTTTTTAATATTTTTATTAAAAAATAAAACTAAAAAAATACTTTTCTATTGCTGAAAATATCCAAAAGCTCTAACTTTGATAGGCAAATCTGGAACTGAGGTTATAAAGCTTTATTATATTACTATATTGTTTCAATTCTTAAGTTCCAATTTATTTCACTTGTTCAATGCAATCTCTACTTGGTTTCTGTAGTCCAATGAGCATCGATTTCTTTTTTCTTTTTCTTTTTTTTCTCTCCAAGAAACTCTCAATTGAAGCACAAACATAGAAGGAGCTGCAACAAATCCATGAGTGCAGGCACCTTTAATTCTTGTTGTAATGTGAAGTAATGTAGATTGGAAGTTTACATTTTCCAAACGTTAAGAGAATGCAAGGCTGGTGCCATGGGTTTTAAAATAATTGAAAGATATAATTGTCATCTATATAAATGATTTGTCATCTATGTAACATATTATTTTTTTGATTTCCATGATTAGAAGTTGCATATCAAATGTATGCCCGATGAGCTTCATCCAACACACATAACAAATATATTAAAAGGCATGAGAGATTGGTGACCTATTTTTAGGTTATTTATCTTCTTCTTTTTTAAATAAAATAAAGATTGATTGTGAAATTTCAAATAGAGCTACAATTTTAGAGCCTAATTATACCCTGTTTTACCCGGAATTAAAGAAACAATGTAGAATTAAGGTTAAATTAAATTATTATTGAACGAATTTATATAAAAATTAAGTTTAACAATGTAATTAGATTTTTAATAAATCAATTTAATTTTATTATAGACCAAATTAAAGTTTAATTATATTTAAAAGTCAATTCAATTTTATTATGGGCCAAATTAAAGTTTAATTATGCTTAAAAATTAATTTGAATTTGATTGAAGGATTTGATTTGGTGCAATGGTTTAATTATTTTTTGAATAAGTGAAATTAATTTTATTAGAGGTTTACTTTGTGAAAAAATCAATTTTGGAGTGAATTTAAACTTAATTAAAAAAATTGAAATTTTAAAAAATTTAATTTAATTTTTATCAAATTAATTAATTATAAACAGAGATAAAAATGCAAGATAATTAGAATTTCAAGATTAATTAAAAATTAAATTAAAAAAATTTGCCAACCTGCAAAAGATATTGAACTATAAGAACTAACCACTGACGCTGGCCGCCAGCTCCTTAATCAACGTTGTCACCAACCTCACGTTAACCCCTTCACGTCATGACTAGCCAAACCTCAAGCTAGGCACCTCGACTCCAAGTAGTGTCGCCCCTCTCCTCATTGCAACATATTGCTTCATGTAAAATGAATTCTTGTTCTACATACCTAGACTAGATCTATGTTGCACAATGTCTTTTTACATAATGATATATATAAAGAAATTTATATGAAAGTCCCCCGGGACTTTCATCATCCAAACGAGTTTATAGGCTTCGCAAATTCTTATTCAGGATTAAGCAAGCTTCTTGATAATGATTTGAAAAATCCACATCTTCACTCATCTTTATTGGTTTTCAACAATCAAATGCTGACCATTCTCTCTTTACTTCTATTCATAAGAATAGTTTTAGTAACTTGCTCATCTACGTGGATGATGTTATCATTACAAAAAACAGTGCTTCTCATATTGCTGAACTTCAACATTATCTTCATGGGAAATTCCATTTTAAAGACCTTGGACCCTTAAAGTAATTTCTGGTCTCGAAGTAGCTTGCTCACCATGAGGCATTGTTTTTAGCTAACATAAATATGCCTTAAACATCCTTTAAGAAACCAAAATGTTGGGAGCCAAACCTGCTCTTGAATAAGAGCATCATTTAACAGTAGATTCTGGTTCTATTGTATCCCAACTGCTTCCAGTCATCTTGTGGGGTTGCCTGCTTTATTTGACTATCACCATGCTAGATTTGTCTTACTTGGTGCAAGTTCGTCAATTACTTCAGGATCCTCGTACACCTCATCTTGAGCTCTAAGATATATAAAGACAAGACCAAGACAATGCATTTATCTTCTTCATTCAAGTCCTGTTCAATTAGAAGCATATATATTACGACTCTGAAAGGGCAAGTTGTCCAACTACTCAGCGACTTACCACTACCACCACTAGATTCTTCATCTTTCTTGGGAGTTCTCCTATTTTATGAAAATATAAGAAACAACGACTATATCTTGATCTTTGGCCAAAGCTGAAAATCAAGCAATGGCATCGACGACAACTGAGATTGTTTGACTTCATTATTTGCTACATGACCTTGGCATTTTCTTGCATTCAACTTGTCTTTATTGTGATAACAAAGTATCCTTATCCCTTCATGTTATCGCCAATCAGTTCAACTCATGTTTCCTCATCACTCCAACTTTTGGGCATGCTTACTCAAGCTCTCAGACGAGAACAATCTCATGGCTTGTTGGGCAGGTTGGGCTTTATAAATCTACATACTCTAACTTGTGGGAGAGTATTGAAAATTCCACTTAATCGTCTCCTTTTCTTTACTTACATAATTACATCCATTTATAATTCATAGGATCATGTTGTATCTAACATTCCTCTGCATATTTCACTTTTGGGACTTAATTGGAACAAATAGCTGTGTGTGTGTGTGTGTGTGTGTAAACAATACTAATGAAAATGCATGTAAATATTTTCCATTCTACACCAGCAACTTCTCAAGAAGCAAGGCTTGGGCAAACACTAGATAGATCCCACGTAAGATTACCGGCTTCAACCCGTCGTTGCGTATAAACTGGAAGCCCTCTTTGATAAACTAATTACCGACCTACCTACGTCCAAGCAGAGGTGAGCACCACAGAGCATGTTCCGCAATATTTAGATAAGGTTAGCCAATGAAGTTACTTTTAATATTTTTATTTTGTATTTCTTGCTAAACAAAATGCCAAGTATAATCATTATTTTTGCCATCACTGACTACAACAGCTAGCGCAAAAGGCAATGCAAGAATTGAGAACGGAAGGAATGAGGTGGCTTTACTGTTAATGAAGATCCTGTGTTTTGACAGTGGACTTCCCTTTCCATCATACATAAACGGAAGAAATTGGCATCGCAGTTTCATATACCTCAACAGATTCAATTTTAATGCATGACGACCCGAGTTTAATATGTTAATATCAAAATTAAAATGTTAAAACCTATTTTAATTTTAAAATTTTAAGTTATTAGATAAGATATTAAAATATAATTTATATTATTTTTAATATATTTATTTAAGTGAAAGTTTTTAGAGCTTAAAACTTGCTTAATTTTATCAAACAAAATGGTGAAAGTGAGATTCGAACTTATAATTATTTTGTTCAATATCATGTCAAAGAATAATCTCTATTTAAAAGATTAATTAAATTTTTAAGTAAAACTTCAAGATATAATTTATATTATTTCTTAACATAAAATAATTAGAAGTAAATGCATACTTTTCATGTGGAGAATAACATAAAACTAAAAATCAAAAGAAAACCATAACCATTGTAGTAAAAAAACTTTTATCTAACAAGTATATAGATGCAAAATGAGTTGTTAGAAGTATCGCACGCAGGTCCGCGTCATGAGCATTGTTGTGGGGATTAAGAAGTTGTAATCTAGTTGTTTGATTCAGAGTCGCTAGAAAATTTATGTATGCTATTTTTATCAAAAATTCTAAGACAATGGACTAGTTGTGTTCAGGAAAGGTATTAACACCCTTGTACATTTTACCTGAGGTAAGTTACAGTGTGGCCTTCATATGGTTTAAAGATTTTGATATGTTCTTAATCGATAACTAATCTATGACTCAAAAAATTTACTCTTATTTATAAATGTGGCATCCTTAGATAAATTCTTATAGGAAAAATCCATGTAGGTGTCCTAACAAAGTTTAACTATTATGGAAGGTGAGAAGATTTTTCACAACTCATATATTGTTATGAAAAATACACTCAATTAAAATTGATGAATATTTTGAGTAATTTTGAGAATTTCCTAACCAATTTTAAGTGTTTAAATATCAACCTACTTATAGGTCTAGCATTTATACTAGAATAATGACCCTTAATTCTCATGAATTAAAATTTTTAAAGGGGTTATTAAAATATTAACTAAGTTATCATGAATTTAATAAATTAGTTATTAAATCCAAAAATACATGTAAAAAGTTTTTTGTGCAAAAAGTGTTAAAACTTACCATATATTTTTATTTTTTCAGAATATGAATTTTTTTTTGAAATACTTGGTTATATGCACAATAAATAAAACATAATTTTTTATATATTTTTAAAATGAGAAGATTTTTTTTCCAGTGAAAAACAGGTATTATAATACCAAGTTACATTTTACAGTATAAGTATATACTTCCGATATTAAATAAAAT